GTATGTTTTTACTGTGCTCTTAGCTTACTTTTTTTCTGGAAGCTGATCGGATGGCTGGCTGAGTCATGCCGCAAAACTGTTGTTCTTGGTCGTCCCAAATGAACCTCATTGTCATCTTCCTCCAGTCACAGGTTACGGTGCCTAGCTCTGACAGCCATTGAACCCCTACAACCAAGTCCAATTCGATTGAAAGAAGGACATAGAGAGTGAGATGGAAAATGATACCTTGCATCTCGACTAGAACTAGTTCGAACTGGCCACTTCATTTCATCGATCGCCTATTCGCCACTCGGACCATAAATGGTTCGGTTAGCACTCCAGGCAGTCGTATGATGCTCACAAGTCGCTCACTAATGAAATTGTGAGTCGACCCACTGTCCACTACTCTATGCTGTCAAATGGAGGCGACGATCTTCATATTTCGACCGGACAGCCATCCTTCAAGGGTATGTAAAGGGATTTTTGGTTCCTCATATGCGACTACCCCGTCTTCCTCTTCTCTACTCTCTAATAGCAATAGCTGTGGCCGACGACATCGGTGGCCAGGAACGAATTTATCCTTATAATTGAAGCAGAGACCTTGTGTGCGTCTCCACTATATATCGTCCCAAGAGATTCATTTCATGGTGCTGGCTGGTGGAGTGTCTGTAGTCGAAGAAGAGACGGCTAAGGTTTTCTGTTGCATCATGGGAGTGAACCGCTTAGTTCGATTGGATTGTCTTTACCAGTTTAACTAGTCTTCTCTCATTTGGGCCAAGTTAATGGCCTCTTTCATTATTTTAGACCGAAACAGTCTGATTTCGTTAGTGACGTCGAGCCAAAGCCCACCCATAAAAGTACCAACTAAAGCTTTTTAGATCCAACCCTTAACCTGGTTACCCATGCGCTCAAATTCCTTATAATATTCTCGAAGAGGGTTGGTCTGCTTCACTCTGGATAAGGCTTCATCAAAATCTTCACATTCCGTCGGCCCAACACAAGCCCAAAGCTTATCCACAAATTCGGTCCAGCCTAGTTCCCTGCCTTCTTCCTTGTGTGTTTTCTTCAGCCACCACTGGTTAGCTTCTCCTTCCATGTGAAAAGCCGCCAACGACACCCGATATTCCTCCACTTTTTCTTGAAAATAAAAAAATTGATCAACTCGATTAAGTCACTCTGTAGGATCAGATCCATCGTAAGTGGGAAAGTCGATTCGGGCCAATCGAGCACCCAACACAGGTCGTGGTCCATCATTTCGCTCAGCGCCACTTTCGTGATTCGGCCATTCCGGAGTGCTTCGCCCGGTGGAGTTGTTGTTAGCTACTTCTTTGTATAGGTTCAACGATTCGATCAAACATCGGAGAATGTCCTCAATCGTCTGCAGCTTGCTCGTCATTCCATTCTCCATCTAGCTGAAGTGGTCTTACAGGCCTCTAACAGTGGCCTCTAAGGTTTCAATTCGTTCTTTGTTTGTGGCCATTCCCTGCTCTGATACAATGTTGTGGTTCCAATCAGAACAACATAAAAACAAGATAAATTCTCTTAGGGTGAGAAAGAACCCAACTTTTCATTGATAATAAAAGACATACATTCACTTGATACTTGCATGTTTAAATACAAGACAACATAACTGTAAACACAGAACTGCTCCTGCTATTCAGGACATGAACATTAATTTAGGGATAAAAGAAATTGCCTACAGAAACTGATGGAGATCATGACATCATGGCAATTCTTCTTCAACTATTTGATTGAATCATGGGAGGCGGTTACTATTAGGATTCATAGATCCCAAGGTATCCCCACAAAGAACCCAAAGTATCTTGATGGAGCATGACTAAGTCAACAGCACGTGCACACCTACAGAATTGGTCTCACTTATCCACCTCCAGCTGAAGAACCACTCCACTCCACAGTAGCAGCTCTCCACAACAGAAGTGATCCACGATCGTTATCCTTTAATTTTCATGGCATAAATGTAGGAATTTACCATTATCTTGTAATCTCTTATTGGCTATTTAAAGCCTAGAACTTTAGATAGAATGTAAGTAAAAATTTAAATCAAATTCTGGTTTCTTTCTCACCTTAAGCAGAAAGCCTTTTTCTTATTTTCTTCAAGCTATTGGGACCAAACATTGGTATCAAAGTAGATTACTATGATGACTAATAAAAAACGGATTTAGAATAAAAACCGGAATGGTCGATTGATTTCAAGCGCTTGAAGAATCCATCCAATGACTCACCAACTCCATTGCATCTGGTAAAGAAGGCTCCAGTAGCCACCACCCCCTTCATCCCAGCTCGTCTCTCACAAACCGCGACGTAAATCCACTACCTGAAGAGAACAACAGCAACCCATTTTATTCCAAACTCGCCAAGCTGGAGTTTTCGGTCTCTGCCGGGGGTGACTCGACTGAATGGGTATGCTGGATCGACCAATTCTTCTCCTATCAAGGCACCACCGAGCAACACAAGGTGTCTCTTACCGCCTACCACCTGGAAGGAGAGGCCAATCAATGGTGGCAATGGTTGAACCGAAGTTACAAAGAAGAGGAAAAAGAAATCACCTGGACTGGGTTTGAAGAGGAGCTGTGGGCGCGGTTTGGGCCAACCGAGTTTGAAGACTTTGATGAAGCTCTGGCCCACATCCGTCAGACCGGCCCACTCTGTGATTATCAGAGGGAGTTCAAAAAATTAGGCAACAGAGTCCATGGGTGGCCCCAGCGGGCCCTAGTTGGAGCCTTCATTGGTGGGCTCAAGCCTGAGATAGCTGATGGGATTCAGATGTTCAAGCCCAGGACACTCAGAGATGCCATAGGCCTGACTTGAATGCGGGAAGAATAGGTGGGTCAAAAAAATCGTCTGACCTGACCCGGGAAACCCAACCTACCCAGAATCCGTCATCTTTACCCGAGCCTCTTCCACAAACCGCCGCCACGAACATAGCGCCAAAGAGGCTCACTTGAGAAAAGATGCAACGACGAAGATCACAAGGGTTGTGCTTCAACAGCAACGAGCGCTTCATGGCTAGCCACCATTGTAGCATACCGTAGCTCCTGCTACTTGAAGGAGTCAGTGAGGAAGACAAAAAAGCAGAGGGTCCCGAACCCGAAATCTCCTTGCACACTCTCATGGTCTGAACACCGGCTCGCACCATGCGAGTCACCGCCACCATCGGACATCAGGAAGCAGTTGCTCTCATCGATCGTGGCTCCATGCACAACTTCATTTGCGAAAAGGTGGCAAGCCGATTACGGCTTCCGATCATTCCAACGGCCCCGTTTCCAGTAAAAGTGGCAAGCGGCAACATTCTAAAATGCTAGGGACGGTTTGACAACGTTCCACTACAATCCAAATGAGAAAGATCGTGGATCACTTCTGTTGTGGGGAGTTGCTGCTGTGGAGTAGAGCAGTTCTTCCGTTGGAGGTGGATAAGTGAGATCAATTCTGTAGGTGTGCACGCGTTGTTGACCTGGTCATGCTCCATCAAGATACTTTGGGTTCTTTGTGGGGATACGTCGGGATTTACAGATTTACGGCAAGAAATGGATTGATTACTATAAGCACAGGTAGTCCTACCCCTCAGTCTTACTGAACCACAGCTCTTACAAGCTTACCAACGTATCCCCCCAAAGAACCCAAAGTACCTTGATGGAGCATGGTCAATAGCACGTGCACACCTACAAAATTGGTCTCACTTATCCACCTCCAACTGAAGAACCGCTCCACTCCACATCAGCAACTCCCCACAACTGAAGTGATCCACGATCTTTATCCTTTATTTTTCATGTCGTAAATGTAGGAATTTACCATTATCTTGTAATCTCTTGTTGGCTATTTAAAGCCTGAAACTTTAGATAGAAAGTAAGTAAAAATTTAAATCAAATTCTGGTTTCTTTCTCACCTCTAGCAGAAAGTCTTTTTCTTATTTTCTTCAAGCTTTGATTGGGACCAAACAGTTACTGTGCTTGGGGTTGGGTATCCGCTGCTGTTGTGATTTTTCGGAGTGTATCAGTCTGTTTCAGCCGTTGCTGCTTCATTTTTACTCTGTTTTCCATGCCTCATTCTGCTCTATTTTTGCATGCAGTTCTGATTTGTATCCTACACTATTTTCCTCTGTTTTGTGTGCAAGTCTGCTCTGTTCTTGACTGCAGATTTGCTCTGTTTTTGCGCACATACTGACTCTATTTTGTGCACACAGATCTACTCCATTTTTGTGCAGATCTGCTGTTTTCGGCACTCTGTTATGGTCTATTTTTGGCACCATGTTCTGCTTCGTTTCAGCTGTAGTTAATCTTTTTCCAGCCTCTCCCGCGCATCCTGGTCACCTTTAGCCACTTTTTGAACTCTTATTAACCAATTCCCATATCTTTAAGTCAAAAAATTCACTTAGGTCCATACCAAGCAAACTAGATTCTAAGCTTCCTTCTCTACCGTCAGCTCTCATCCTCAAGTTTGGCTGGTGACAAACTGAGAAGTATAGGGCTCATTTCCCCTAAATAGTCAACAAGGAACAATTTCCACTCATCTTCAGCTTATGTTTGTTGTTTTAAATCATCATTTCATCATATTCTTTTAGGGTAAAATATGATTCTTGCAGTTTGGCCTGATTCCAATTCAAACTGTGTTTTTATTTCTTTTTTTTTTTATTTTATTGTGACACTTTGTTTCTCTGCGACTTAATGATATTGTATACTTTTTATTTCAAAAAAAAGTTTACTGCTCTGTGATGTGGTCTCCTCTAATAGCGTGATCTGGGGACGTCTGCATTGTTTAAGCTTCTATGTGAACCCAAGAAAGTTTAAGGCTAAAACTAGAGTAAAAAGCAAAAGAGTTATAATATAATAACTTAAAAAACTAATGGTTTTATAAAATTTACAAAAAATAAAGATATAGCACACTAAGATATTAGAAAAGAAATCATAGGATTTGAGTTGCAATCAGCCAAACTAGAAGAGAGGTTAAACTGTAATTTGTCTATTTTTTAATGGGATTGACTTTTTTTTCCCCTTCTTTTTTAGCTAATTGTGAAATGAGCAGCTGCCATTTGGAGTGCCTAGGACAAATACAAACTGATGGAAAATGAAAAAACAATATTTATGCCCTTATTGCCACTTCTTGGAAGATGGATCTATATCTCTTGATGGAGGCGGTCCTCTAGTATGGTTTTAACTTTTCAGAGATTTTTTTTCCCTCATCGAAGTTTTGTTTATTTCTTGACCTTTGTATTCCTTGTGACTTGTTCAGAAATTTGTAGGGAAGCGTCCTGACATCAAGTTGTTGGTTGAGGTTTTAGCAGACGCTAAAAGTGGGGTACTAGGTAATATACCTTGTTGTTGATGCACCTTTTGTAGGAGTTATCATTTACTAAAACAGAAAAGAGATCTTGAAAGAAGAAGGATTCGTTTGACATATAAAATTTTTTTCTAGTTTTCATTTTCTAAATCTATATATATTATATTCACAAAAATGAATAAGTTAGTTAACACTTCAAAAAATAAAGTAAAAATGATGGAGTATGCAAATTATTAAGTGATATTTTAGTATCTTCTAGAAAATTATTTTTGTTAATGCTTGAGTTATTCTAAAAACACGTATTTATGATATACTTTTACGAATAAACACGTAAATTTAGGATATTAAAACTAGAAAAAGTTTGCATATATCAAACAGAGCATGATTCTCAATGGAACTGCTTATGTTTAAGAATATAAGATTAGAGGTTATGTTGTAATAGTGAAAAAGTTCCAGTAACTATTATAGTTTGTTAATTCTAAATATATGGATACTATTTCTTAGGTAGCCATCCATTTCTTACTTAGAATCCTAAAATCTGTGAGATTATGTAATCTGTTTAAACCATTAGTCAGAGATATTTCACATAAATTTTATCATGTTACATGTTTGGCATTTGGATCTTTGGTTTGTCTGGAATATCAAGTAATTTGCAGTTTTTGAGTTAAAAGAATTTTCAAATAATTCGATAGAAGTCCAAATTTCTGAAATTGAATGCTATCTATTTGATTAAGTTCTTCCTAATTGCTAAAACTTTAGTGCTCCAAAGTTTGAGATGTGGGCTATCCTAATTTTTATTTTATCCTTTATTAAAGGTTTGATGGTCTTAAGAATTATGTGTTGTATATCTTATTGAATATGATGGTCCTCTATATACAAATTCTTGAGAATAAGATAGAAAATCACAAGTAATATATAGGAGTATGTTTTACCACAAGGAGTATATTTTACCATTATAGCATTTAACAAATTTTACCATTATAGCATTTAACATAATCCTACATAGTTCGCATCAGTTACGTTTGGAGAAGTAACATGTTATTTTTTTAAATGTGACAGTGTTCTCAAATGTCCTCTTTAAGCAATATAACACTCTTTATGCTACAGTGAATGTACCTCTTGGGGTTGTGCATGAATTGGCTTATCATACTTACCACATAGGTAATGTTCGATTTGGTGTTTGACAGGTATATCAGTCTTCTAACTAGTCCCTAATACATCTCTTTGTTTTCCTTCTGTTGTTCTAACTTGTTGTTGGGATCAATAAGAGTACTAACAGGTTTACATGCCAGCTTACCGTATCTTTTAACTAATTGCTACTATATTTTGCTATGAAATAAAAATTCATCATTTCGAGTGAACAACTTCAATTCTAAAGAAATATTTCAACTTTTCTAATCTTTAATTTTAAAATCATTACTTAGATATTGGTTTCGTATTAATTTTTCTTTTTCATCATTACTTATCACAATGATATCATCAACATACAGCAAAAATGTTGTAGTTCTCTTTGTATCCAATTGTTTGATAAACAAGGTGTAATCTGCCCAACTCTACTTGTATCCCATGCATAAAATTACTTTGTACCTCTTTATTAGTCCATCAGCCTTGTATTTTATAGTAAACATCCACTTAAATCTAAAAAGTTTCTTTCTTTAGGCAAGTCCACCACTTTCCATGTCTAGTTCATTTCCATTGTTAGCATTTCAATATTCATGATATTTTTCTATATCTCACAGGATAATATCTCAGATAAGGTGTTAGGAATAAACTCAATATTTAAACTTATGAGGAATTTCTTATAAAATTATGAACATTTATGAAAAAAACACAAATAATGAGATTAGATAAAGAGAGTATTTAGTACATTTTCAAGTTCTTTTACATATTTTAATAAGTACATTAATATCATATTATATAAAGTTTTTAGAACTTATTTCGATTCCAAAACTTGATTCTAATGCTTGAACCTGCTTTAGCTCAGGATTCACATTCTTCCTCCTTTAGTACAACTAAGTAAATCTCTGGTCATATATGGTTTCTTAAGTAGGTTGATTCTCTGGTGGGTTTTGAGATTGGTCATTTTCTTATGGTGGTGTAAGTAGAGATTAGATAAGTAGTATGGATAGAAAATTGAGATCAAGCAAGAAATTACTATACTTATCTTTTAATATAGGATCTCCTTTAAGATAAAATTGAAAGAAATGAGAGTTTATCTTAACAAATGTAACATCTGTAGGCATATAATATGTTTCTATAGTTGGATGATACACTTGTGTCTTCTTTTGAGAAGAGAAGTATCCTAGGAAAACACACTTTAAAGCTTTGAGATCAAGTTTTTCTTTTGATGTAAATGGATATGAACAAAGATAAGACACTCAAATATTTTAGGGGACTAGATGATTTGTTACACTTGACTTATGGGTAGAATTTTGAAAGTGTTTCCATAAGGCTTTTAAAATGTAAAACACTTTAGGTTAAGCAATTTATAATGCAAGTGATAGTAAAAACTACTTTCTCCAATATTGTTTTGGAACATTGTTTTGGAATAAAAAAGCTCGGGTGGTAATAAAAAACTCACTATTCTTTTATTCCTCCATTCTGTTTTTTATAAACATATAAAGATCCATGAATAATATCTTCTTGGTGAAAGAATGATGAGAGTGTGTTATAGAAATTTTTTTTGACATATCATCTTTTGATGTTGGTTTCAAACTAAATCTTTATCATGTTATTAAATTGAGGTATTTTGTTACTCACATCTAAGAAAAGTCATGTGAATCTTGTACAATCATTAATGAAAGACATAAACCATTAAGCCATAGAACTATTTAGGATGTAGGATAGTCCTCAAATATAACTATAAATTAATGAAAATTGAATAATACTTCTTTTATTGTTACTAAGAAATGTTACATGCTTATGTTTGAACAATTCACATGTATCATAATATAAATTTTCATTTAAAAGAATCTCTAAATAAAAAAAAAATGTAACCTTCAAAATTTAAAAAAAGAAGTGTCCAAATTTTTGGCGATGGAGCCAAAGTTTGTTGGAGTTTGTAGTGGTAGTGGAGAGAGATAATTCAAAGCATTTAAGTAGTCCCATCATTTCTTGCCTTATTATCTCTAATCATCTTCTTTGAGTTCTAGTCCCGAGAATCACAATGAAAAGGAAAAAATGTTATTTTGCAATTCATGTTCTTTGATAATTTCATTATAAAAACAAGACTAGTACACAATTTAGAAACATGTAACTCATTTTCAAGAATCATATCGGTGAAAATTTTGATGTTACTTTTCTTGCAGTAGTATTTAAAGAACCATTAATAATGATTTTTTTTTTACTATTTAGAGACGATATATATGTGTAAAAGTATTGTAATGAGTTGGTCATGTGATCATTAACCCATGGGTTTATAGTCCATAATTCTTCAACTGATATTTAAGATATTTAAATCATATGAGATAGTAAACCGATTTGGGTGTATTAACAAATCTGTACTTTTGGGTTTTTAAAGATTCTTAAGTTTGTTCTTTAAGTGTTCAATCTCAGCTTTAAAATTCAATGAGATAAGTGGTTTTCTCTTTCTCTTATTGATTGACCACATGAGCTTGTCTATGAGGCTTTTGTGGGGTAGTGGGCATCCCATGGAGTATCCAACATTTCTCCTTCATATGTCTTGGCTTCTTGTAGAAGTTATGCTACATATCGTCCTTATTCTCTCCTCTTATTGCTAGTGTGATCGGTCTTAATCAACCTCTTTGCTGGTTGACAAGGTTTTGAATCTTTGAATATTATGGCCGAGCTTTCACTGGAGTAAGATTCCAGCATAACTAGCTCCTGCTTTTTTCCATAGCTATGTTAGGACCCGGCATTGACATGTACTTTATCGGAGCCGGAAATTAGTAAAAGAAATTAATTTTTAAACAAATATAGAAGAATTTCGAGAGAGAAGATTAATTTTGAGAGTTAGAAAATTAAAAAAAAAGAGAGAAGAATCTGGAGAGAAATAAAGTTGAGACTGAGAGAGGGAAAGGTTTTTAGAGGGAGAAGAAATAGAGAGAGGGTACGTTACAGAGAGAGAAAGAAGATAGCCAAGAAGATAGAGAAGTCGAGAACAGAGGGAGAGTGAGAGTTTGGAGAGAGATACGGCCGAGAGAGAAGATAGCAGAGAAGAGAGAGAGAGTGTGTATGTGTTTGAAGAACACAGAGAGATAA